CGAGCCATCAAATGAACTTCTTTGAGATCATGTGGAACCACAATATCAAGCTTCCTTATTACGTATCCCAGCTTCTTCAGGTGGTCGTGAACACTTGAATGATGGATGTTCAATGTTTCTGCAATCTCTCGTGCCATGTAACATGGGTTTGACTCGATCAACGCCTTTATTTTGTCATCATCAACCTTGATGGGCCTCCCTGACCGAGGAGCATTGTTGAGATCAAAACCACCAGCACAGAATTTCGTGAACCATCATTGGCACTGACGTTCTTGTAGAGCACTGTCACCGTAAACTTTACACAACTTTTCACAAGCTTGACACACGTTCTTCCCTTTATGGAAGTAAAACAGTGCAATATGGCAAAAATGCATAGCTTGGTCTTCCATCTTCAACTTGTAAAATCTCCAAAACTCAACAAACTTGCTCCAGTTTTTTAAAAAATGGAAGCTAGAACTTGTGTCAGCTGTCAAATGATATAGCAATATGACTCTAGTACTTCCAAAAATGAACTAGTGCCATATGTTGCAAATATGAGTCATGACTTTTCTAATGACCCAATATTTTTTTGTTTCTTCTTTTGACACTATTGCCAATCATTTGTTGGTTATAAAAAGGTGTCTCTGACCTTATCCTCACATTTATGTCTCCTACTCCTTAATCTCAAGGGTTTGTAAATAACAGAAACACAAGACTCACAGAAATAAATCCTAAAGTCAATCTAAAATACTTCTGAACATAGAAATGCAAGGCCATCGATAGTGGGCATAGAATTTGTTGGAATACATTAATATAATTAAAAAGGCTTGTGTTTCATTATAAAGAGGTGTTGGTTAATTCATAGGCAAAACATAACAAAAATAATTTCAAAAATTAAATTGAGCCATTTAGGGCAATTCCAGGGGAATGGAAAATAGTCATGATCATCACTATATTAGTTACCATTTACTATTAGCATCCTTTTTTCCAGGCACTGTGCTCTTAGTCATTAAAGCATACTGACCCTGTTTGCAAAACATTCCCTATTGTGAAATGGATATACTACATCATTAAATTTTCCTATAATCAACTTTCCCACTTTGAACTGGTTTCATGTTTATCAAGGAAACCCTGGATTATGATCTGGCCTCATATAAGGGTCTTCTCATAGGAGAAAAAAAAAAGTGATGACCATATGGAATTCAAGTTTTCTACTTAAAAGGATATGGATGTCTCATGGGAAATGTAGAAAATGGCTTTGATGATGATGTGATTTGCCATCTAAGAATGTCTACAGGAAAGGAATGTGCTGGTTAGTCTGGTCACTGGAACAATAAATTCTTATTTTTAATTAACAGATTGGCACTTTGCTGTG